TGTTGAATTTTTTGAAAATATTTTTCCTTTAAAATTTGAGAAAATTTCTGATGCTCATATTATTCCAAGTGATAATATTTCACATGTTCCAATTATTCGAAATGATTTTGAAAGTGAGGATTTAAGAAGAAGCAAAAGACTTGGTAATGATTTTATACTTACCTTGTGGATAATGATCCTTTAACATATTCTGAAGCTATTTCTTCGTCTGATGCCTCATTTTGGAAAGAAGCTATTGATGTAGAATTAAATTCAATTTTACAAAATAAAACTTGAATTTTAGTTCATTTACCTCCGGGAGCTAAACCCATTGGTTGTAAATGGATTTTTAAGAAGAAACTCAATCCGGATGGTTCCATTGATAAATACAAATCTAGACTTGTTGCAAAAGGTTTTACCCAAAAGCAAAATATTGATTATTTTGACACTTATGCTCCTGTAACTAGAATTTCCTCGATTCGTGTTTTACATGCCTTGGCTTCTATTTATAAACTTTTTAGTCACCAAATGGATGTTAAAACTGCATTTTAAATGGTGATTTGGAAGAGGAAATTTACATGGAGCAACATGAGAGTTATATAGTGTCTGGGCAAGAAAACAAAGTATGTAAATTGTTAAAATCTTTATATGGTCTAAAGCAAGCACCTAAACAGTGGCATGAAAAATTTGATCAAGTATTGATTAATGATGGTTTTTCATCAATTGAAGTAGATAAATGTGTTTATACAAAATGTGTAGATGGTACATGTGTTATTATTTGCCTTTATGTGGATGACATGCTTATTTTTAGTTCTAGCCTTGATTTGGTACATAAAACCAAATTTTTCTTGTCTTCTAATTTTGAGATGAAAGACATGGGAGAAGCTAGTGTTATTTTAGGCATGAAAATTATAAGAGATGGCAATAGTTTGATGTTGACTCAAGAACATTATGTTGAAAGAATTCTTAAAAAATTTAATAATTTTGATGTGGTACCTGTAAGCACTCCTTATGATGCTAGTAGTCAATTAAAAAAGAATAAGGGAGATGATGTAGATCAAAATAAATATGCTCAAGTTATTGGTAGTCTAATGCATTTGATGAATTTTACTAGACCTGATATTGCATATGCTGTGTGTAGATTGAGTAGATATACTCAAAACCCAAGTCATGATCATTGGAATGCATTAGTAAGAGTAATGAAATATTTGAGAGGTACCATGAACTATGGTATTAAATATAGTGGATTTTCCACTGTACTAGAAGGATACAGTGATGCTAACCGGATCTCTGATTCAGATGAGACGAAATCCACTAGTGGTTATGTGTTCACCCTCGGTGGGGGTGTTGTGGCATGGAAATCAGCTAAACAAACAATAATAGCTAGATCTACCATGGAATCTGAGTTTGTGGCGTTGGAATTGGCTGGCAATGAGGCCGAGTGGTTAAAGAACCTTTTGGCAAGTATTCCACTAGGAATAAAACCGACACCTTCTGTGTCGATGCATTGTGATTGCAAGCTGCAATAGCCATTGCTAAAAATAAATCCTTTAATGGGAAGAGTAGACATATCCGATTGAGACATAATGTGATAAAGCAGCTGCTGGGAGATGGAATTATTTTCATAGATTATGTGAAGTCAGAAGTGAATTTGGCCGATCCTCTCACTAAACCTTTGGGAAGAAAATCAATATCTGAAACATCGAAGGGAATGAGACTTTTGCCAATTTGAGTTATATCAACTATGATGGTAACCCAACCTATGTGATTGGAGATCCCATGAAGTAGGTTCATATGGGTAATAACAAGTCAATAGTTGATCAAATGTGCACTATTAAATTATGTCCCTTCCTATGGTGTGTGTATATAGTGCAAGACTGCAAGGAATGAGAGGCTGAGTAATTAAACTCTTAATCTAATAATCCATAGCCTTTGATAGGTGGTATATTGTGCTGCAGAATACACTTGATGGATGGACCTATATGAGTGTGGAGTGGGGCCGCTCCTATGAAATTTGTGGCAAAATTTTTAGAGCACTCATGAAAACCAGGCGCGTGCATGGCCTATTAGCGCAAAACCGCTACAAACAACAAAGTGTGTGCGAGTATAATGTGATAGATAAGACACTAAACTTACAAAAGAATTATTGGTTCATAGAAGTTCTGAACTTCACCAATTGTTCTGTAAGTTTAATCTTATTTTATCTAGGTTTGGTTCATAGTCCAAGAGACACCAGACGGGTTATGCTCATTTGTGAATACCCAGGAATTTTTTTTTTTATTTCATTATGATATTCTTTTTAAGCTATGTGGGGGATTGTTAAAAAATAATAATTTTTAATATCTCAAAAAGAATATTTAAATTGATGTCTAGGTTCATTCTTTTAATGGGTCTTTATATGACCAATCAATTTAAATATAATATTTTATTAACATTAAATGGCTATCAAAATCAGTTATTTTTTGTAACTTTGAATCTGATCAAAAATGATCTTGGATGACCGTTTCCTATCATTAATTTAGATACCATTTCTATTGGCTTTAAATGAATTTTACGTTAATAGCTTTTAGTGATTAAGTTATGGAATCTGTAACTTAAATGATTTAATGTTTTGACATTTGAATACTAAATGAATTTTAACGTTTTTTACATCAGATATCTATTTCATTTTTGGACTATATATATAGATGTTTTCTTGTGTTCATTATGTGATAGTGTGGAAAAAATAAAACTTTTCTTCTCCTTTTTTCCTCTTGTGCTGGGTTTTCTTTTCTACAAGCTTTGTTGTTTCTGCTCCTAGTTATACTAGAAGAGCTTGTTGAATCCTGGGGGATATGCCTAATATTATTCATTTCGGTGTGGGCGAAATATCCTTAAGGACAATGTCTTTGACGCGCCTCAAGCTAAACCTTTTATTCTCCATAATCATCCAATTTTTCCAACGGATATATGATGATAATTGAATCAAGTAGTGAAAAATAATTTAAGGACTCAATTAAAAATAATAAAAATAAATTCTTGTACTTAACAAAAGAAAAACAACCAATAAATAGAATATAAAGGCAAAGAATTAGATTATTGTAATAGCAAAGAACTAGACTAAAAGTGCAAACGATTAATATGTACCATAAAATTTTAGAAACTTTGTATAAAAAAAAAAGAGATAATACATAAATTACCCATCAAACTTGTCCGGAAAAATTACTTACACACCTTAATTTTACGGGCGACCTATGTCCCCCCTATTCTTGTTTGGGGTGAATTTAAGACCACCCTAAATGGTGACGTGGCAAAGAGAGTAGCTTCACTCTCCCAATCTCGCGTGTAAGAGGGAATTTTTTTTTTACTGTGTGGGTCCCTTTTTTCGTTTACTTCTTTTTTTTCTTATTTTTTTTCTCTTTTTTGTTTTCTCTCTCCACCTTTTCTTCTTCCTCTCACAATTGCAAAAATTATTTTTTTTAACAAAATATTTTTTTGTAAAAACTGATTTTTTTTGTTTGTAAAAACAGAATTTTTTTTTCAGTTTTTAATAAAATATTTTCGTTTTTTAAAAACTGAAAAAAATATTTTCAACAAATTATTTCGTTTTTGTAAAAAGTTTTTACTTTCTTTCTATTTTTTTCTAGTTTTTTGTAAA